ATAATAGATGATTCCATATATAAGTTTGGTTGTGTATACTCAAAATTTATTTTGATAAAGAATCTATACTAATATACATAATTGACATACTGATTAATCACGATCCTGCTCAAACCACTCAACGTAAGAAGCTCAATTTTGGCATACAGGTTAATTCCAGGGTGTAGAGATTCGATAAGAAGGGATTTTTCGAAATTCCAGTTCCAAGAGGGTGAAACCACCCCTCAAATATTACAATATTTTTTATTTAAAAAACGGTCAAGTTTCCGAAAAAACGCTTAAACATCACGTATATTTTATTTTGTTTTTTTACATATTTTAAGATTTTTTAAAAATGTATACAGGATGTTTCAAAAAATCTGGTCAGTGATTAATCACGATCCTGCTTAAAGCACTTGACGTAAACAGCTGATTTTTGGAAAACAGATTGACTTTAGGGTGTGGAGGTTCGATAAGGAGGGATTTTTCGAAACTCGAATTCTAACGGGGTGAAACTATCCCTCAAATATTAAAATTTTTATTTAAAAACCGGTGAGTTTTTCGGGAAAACTCTTAAACACGTATATTTTATTTTGTTGTTAGGGTGTTGTCTACAGGGTGTTTCATAAAATATGGCCATTGAGTAATCACGATTCTGCTTAAACTGCTTGACGTTTCAAGCTGATTTTTGGCAAACCGATTAACTGTGGGGTGTAGAGGTTCGATAAGGAGGGGTTTCTCGAATCTCAAATTCCAAGAGGGTGAAAACGCCCCTCAAATATTACAATATTTGTTATTTAAAAAACGGTTAGTCTTTCGGGAAAACGCTAGGACAAGCATAATTTATTTGGTTTTTTTACATATTTTGAAATTTTTTAAAAAATCATACAGGGTGTTCCAAAAAGTTGGGTAATTGATTAACCACGATTCTGCTTAAACTGCTTGACGTAAAAAGTTTATTTTTGGCAAACGGATTTTTCAAAAGTCAGATTCCAACGAGATGAAACTACCCCTTAATTCGACGCGAACGAAGTCACTGGTACACGCTAGTATAATATGTTATAGGTATATGTCAATTTTAAATAAGTATCTGCCGAAAGATTTAAATTATTTTTATTAGAAATAAAATAAACCATTATTATACATTTATTTGTGTTAACTCTTGCTACCTTGCGATGCAAAAATAAAAACAATAGAAAATAGAACACCAAATGTGTTGCAATAAACTTCGCTGTAATTAACTGATATATTAACAGGATGTTTTACAAGCGGTACATAATTATCGGGCGGTTTTAACAGTATTTCTTTATTTAAATTGGAAAGTGTTTTTAGTTTTTAAGAATATTGTTATTTTTATAGAGCATATTCCTATTTTGCCAAAAATAATATAATAGTGTTAATTCGTCATATAATTGGGTAAGATCGAAAAAAAGCGTCATGTTACTTTACAAATGCGATCGATGACAATCACTATACCGGGTGCGTCTCAAAAGTGGCTCATCCCTATAACTTTTTTATTTTTTCAGATAAAATAACGAGATTTGGTCCTTAGTATATTAATTTAATTTTTAAATTAAATTTTAATTTATATGATAATTTTCCAAATATGCTAATGACCCACACCGTAACCACCGTATTAACAAAGCCGGACAGCTTATTTGTGACGCCATCAACTGGAGGCCTAAACTTTGATTGCAATTGATACACTTTATACGTATATAATTGATATAAACCTTAATTGCACCGAATTTAATACCTGGACTGTAGTATTTTGGCCATATAAATAGGTTTCTAATTTCAGATCTAAATGTCCTATAAAATATTCCTTTATTAAATTTGATTGATAAAAAGTGAGAGATAAACATTTATTGACTGGTATGATTTTTTCCTTATTCTATTAAAGCTATTTTTATATACTATAATATTTTTAAAAACTCAGAGAAAGACATTTTAAAACTTCGAAATATATCTACTGAGTGAAAAAAGATCCACAATTTGAACTTTTATCGGGTAATTATCAACGCTGCTAAATAGAGTTACGCCTCCAGTTGGTGACGTCACGAGATTTTTACGTCACAGCTGGATGGCCTTGTTCCCACACTTGTTCCATTTGAAAAAATTGAGATATGATTAAAAATACAATTTGAGCATTTTCTAACTGGTCAGGACAAGACACTAAAAACATTAGACGATCAAATCTATTTTTCCAAGGCTCGTTGATTAAGAATTAGTTTTTAGCCATGGCACTCTAGATTAGAATTTTAGAGAATGTCAAAAGTTGACATATGATATGTCATTCTATTCAGAATGTCACTTTCTTTTGAATAGAGTAAAAAAATACCGAGGGTGCCATTTAAAAAGCAAAAGTTGTAACCATTTCCGGTGAAACAGGAAGTGACCAAAAACAATTGAATACGTCAATCAATCCTAATTTATGTCATATACTAACATACGAAATCTCGTTTTTTTATCTGAAAAAATAAAAAAGTTATAGGGGGTGAGCCACTTTTGAGACGCACCCGGTATATGAATATACATATATAACGAATACACCGATTTGGTCATCGAAACTGTGCGGTTTGGATTTTAACGTGTAAGACAGTGATGTAGACAGCTTAATGGAAAATCAAATGTATTAAAAAGAGATAAAAATTGGGTCGACACATTTCTTCTATGCGGTATTGCCGGATTTTGCATCAAAATTTCAAACCGCACAAGTATAGGCGTTTACGAAAAATATTGCATCCAGAGTTGGAACTTTATTTTTCACTATTAGTTACTAATTTTACTACAGCTGTAATAGATTATATTTAGTTTAGATATATTACCATCATTTCAGTAGTATACATGAAAGTTTTTAAAATAGCTCATATTTTTCTGCATACATTTTCCTACAAACGTAAAAAACTGGCAACACTGTATGCCGCTTTTGATTTTTTGAAAAAACAATATGGCGATATTATTATATAACTTGGTAATATTTGAGGGGTAGTTTCATCTCGTCGGAATTGACTTTCGAAAAATCCGTTTGCCAATAATAAGCTTTTTATGTCAAGCAGTTTAAGCAGAATCGTGGTTAAGAAATTACCCAACTTTTTGGAACACCCTGTATGATTTTTTAAAAAAATTCAAAATATGTAAAAAAAACAAATAAATTATGCTTGTCCAAGCGTTTTCTCGAAAGACTAACAGTTTTTTAAATAACAAATATTGTAATATTAGAGGGGCGTTTTCACCCTCTTGGAATTTGAGATTCGAGAAACCCCTCCTTATCGAACTTCTACACCCCACAGTCAATCCGTTTGCGAAAAATCAGCTTTAAACGTCAAGCAGTTTTAGCAGAATCGTGATTACTTAATGGTCATATTTTATGAAACACCCTGTATAAATTTATAAAAAATCTCAAAATATGTAAAACAACAAAATAAAATATACGTGTTTAAGAGTTTTTCCGAAAAACACACCGGTTTTTAAATTAAAAATATTTTAATATTTGAGAGATAGTTTCACCCCCTTAGAGTTCGAGTTTCGAAAAATCCCTTCTTATCGAACCTCTACACCCTAAAGTCAATCTGTTTTCCAAAAATCAGCGTTTTGCGTCAAGCGCTTTAAGCAGGATCGTGATTAATCAATGACCAGATTTTTCGAAACACCCTGTATACATTTTTAAAAAATCTTAAAATAAGTAAAAAAAAATAAAATATACGTGTTTAAGCGTTTTTTCAGAAATCTGACCGTTTTTTAAATAAAAAATATTGTAATATTTGAGGGGTGGTTTCACCCTCTTGGAACTGGAATTTCGAAAAATCTCTTCTTATCGAACCTCTAAACCCTAGAACCAACCTGTATGCCAAAATTGAGCTTCTTACGTTGAGTGGTTTGAGCAGGATCGTGATTAATCAGTCCCTTAGGGATTTTATATATTAGTATAGATTTTCAAATTTCAATACTCTATTCTACTGGCAACGAGTTAAAAGTATCCATTCTTAATTAACAGGAAATTCAGAATCTAAAATAACGCACATTACATTGTTTTGTAACAGTAATATATCGATTTCACTTTTAGTACATCCTGATAATAAAAAATACATTATTTTATATTGCGGATGTATTATTGCATTAGGAATAATATGCGTTAGCCCATAAACGAATATTTGTGCAACTCTCCGGAGTATAGCAGTTCTTTAGCCATTTTTTCCAAATTAATCACCTAAAAATTTGTCAATGGTATACAAATCTATTTTCAGAAAACATATTTTACTGAATAAAGCTTCCTTCAGAACCTCCCAATTAGTGGATTAAATTAGTAGTTTCAATTACACTTTATACTTTTTAGTTTACGATCATTCACAATGTCTAAAAAACACAATTAAAATTAATAAAATATCCTAGCAACAGCTTGCGGTAGTCTCTTGTACCCATAGAGAAAGCATAATATTTAGCTTATAAAACAATCTTTAAAACAATAAACTTTTGATTTCTAACCAAAATTTTTCTTGACTGGTGATAATCAAACGCCAAAATGACATTCCTCGCAAATTTTGAAGTATAATTAGTGGAAAAGTCAAAAGTTTGTTAACTTTTTCCACTAATTGAAAATTACTACCACTAATTATGACGTTCTGAATGATTACATTAAAATTTGGTGAACAAACTTCTACGGCTAATTGAAACTACTAACTTATTCCACTGATTTCGAGGTTCTGAATGAAGCTTAATCGAAAATGTCTACCACTAATTTTGACGTTCTGAATGCTTATATTGAAATTAAAGGAGCAAACTTCTACGCTAATTGAAACCGCTAATTTATTCCACTAATTGCGAGGTTCTGAATGAAGCATATGCGTTCAGCTCGACAAAAATTTACATCGATTGACATTTCAGAGTCCACTGTCACTTTTTGTCATTCTCTTGTATGGTACCTGTACTAATTCTAGCTTGTCGTTTACATATATTTTTATTATGTTATAGCTCTTGTATGAGTTTGGGTATGTTAATCTAACAAAAAATTATTTTTTCAGGAACTTTTGAAATCTGTAAATGATTTTCACAAGGACAAAATAGCAGAGCCATTGGAAGGCAAGTTTCCTATTGACGATGATTCTGTTAACCTTAGAAAACAACCTTCCATTCGTAGGAATCGGATTTCCAAGACAACAGATTTTGACGTACGCAGAAGAAAGCACGATTTGTAAGTTTGTCTTTATTAATTTATTATTATTTAGTTCATGTAGACAAAGAAAAAGATATATGCTTGTCCGACGATTCACGGGAGATTTCGACAGACGACATCCAAAAAATGAGCGAAAATATAATATATCTGTGAATTAAAATGACAAACAGCAACTGTCACTGTCATGTATGTTCTCGTTGGACAGACTACATAATATACTGCTCAAATTGTGCTGAAAGCTTTCCTGAATCTAATATATACAAGGTGTCCCAAAAATAAGTGCAAGTATTTTAACTGGTAACTGGTAGTATAGTTTAACCCCAGAAACACACATATGAGGGTTTTTTCGCGAAAAAATTTTTTTGAAAATTAGAAATTTTTTGAAAAATTTTTTGGAATTTTTTTTAGTTTTTAGTCAAAAAACGTAATTTCTTGATAATATGGCAACATAGGTATTAGATTAAATTTACAAGAAAGAAAATCCAGAAAAGATCCAGTAGTTCTCAAAATTTTAGTAAAATAACTCCGTTATTTTGGACTTCTTCCGTTCTAAACTTTAAGTCAGAACTATAATAATAATGCTGGAATTGCGGTACGTTAAATAAAAAACGTTTCGCGTTATATAACTATTTATGTTATAAATTTAAAAAAAAATATATGGGTATTTCCCCACTGCAAGAAAATCTACAAAATAAAATAGTTATTTTTTGTAAGCACTGCTGGCGTTAAGCTTGATTTTCATGCATCGGTTGTCCGACGATACGTTGATACGATATTAATTTTATTGGTAGAATTTAAAGACTTTGATTGGTTAGAAAATAACGCAGTTTTTAAATTTATTGCATTTTCATGCCTCCGTTTATCGGATATACGTTGGTGTTATTTTATATTTTCGTTTCCATAACGATTTTGCTATTTTACTTATATTTTTATTATTGTTAGATTAAATTTGTCAAAAAAGTGTCAAAACATCCGTTATCGTATGAACGGGTCCGTTGACGGGCTGAAGTAAAATATTTACGGAAGAAAAGTGGCACGAAAACGCTATGACCAATCAGAGCACCGTCGGACCAACGTACCAATGTATAACGGATGCATGAAAATCAAGCTTTAAGCCAACGGAAAAAAATATAAATTTGTGCTCAACTGAAGTTCAAACCGTAAATAACCACGTGATGGTTGTTAATATAGCTCTATCTTTACTCAGAGCACAGAATATCAGAGCACACACTACGCAAGATAGTTGCTTGATAAACGCTACGTTGCGTAGCTAGATATTCTGTGCCTGTTTACTTATTATTTCTCTGAGATACAACTTTATAATTTAAAAATTTACAACTTCACACACAACAGAAGAGCATAAAAGACTTCTAGCATTCTTATTACAGATTATCAAATCTAATAACGGCGATTATATTTAGATTGAAACTTTAATGAAAAATCAACTAAGCACATTTATTTTAAAATAAAAAAACTTTCATGTAAAAATATCTTCGTGGTGCTTCATCATTGCCTGTATATTTTGCAAAACAAATAATCTAAATATCAGACAGGAAACATAATATACTACTATTTTAGAGCATTTAAATGTTGTTTTGAAACAACATCCGTCCATAGCTTATTATTATATTACTAGTCATTACAATCTTCGGTTGAAGTTTTGTCTGGACAAAAAATAATTTGGGAATTCTCTGAATTTTTTCTTCGCTACAAGGTTTGTAACATTGTGGTTTGTAAGTTATTAATATTTCATTACATATTAATATCTCAAAAACAAAACCAAATGATATGAAAAAATTTTCAGTTTTCCAGAGTTGTTGGAACAAGTGGTAAAATGCCTGCAAAAAATCAAGTGCTACGACCACTGCCTATTCAATAGACAGCCAGTCGACTTGGACCTACGCGTACTAGGGTGACCGATATGTTTTTTGGAATCGGAAATATCGGTACCGCCCCTCTTAGGGTGCAGCCACACTATCCTAAAAACGGCGTATCGGCGTAACGGCGTAACGACCTTGAATCGATTTCCAGTAATTCTATTGGCTGAAATTTTTGACAGATGAATTTGACAGATAAAATTTCTGACAGATGAATGTTTCAGCCAATAGAATTACTGGAAATCGATTCAAGGTCGTTACGCCGTTACGCCGATACGCCGTTTTTAGGATAGTGTGGCTGCACCCTTAGGAACCGGAATTGCCCGGTTTTTTAAAAAAATACGAATAAAAAACATAGGTAACTTAAAATCTACATCAAACAGCATAAACCAACTGAACCAAAGTTGAAAAAAAAATACATTTTCAATTAAAAATGTAAATGCGTATCAAAACATAGGATAAAAATATTAACTAATGCCATTTAGCAACATACTAAATAATAAAATAACATATTTATACTTCAATAAAATTGCTTAGTAATTTTCAATTAGTGAAAAAAGTGACTTTTCCACTAATTATACTTCAAAATTTGCGAGGAATGTCATTTTGGCTTTTGATTATCACCCGTCAAGAAAAATTTTGGTTAGAAATTAAAAGTTTATTGTTTTATAAGCTGAATATTATGCTTTCTCTATGGATACAACAGACTACCGCAAGCTGTTGCTAGGATATTTCATTAATTTTAATTGTGTTTTTTAGAAATTGTGAATGATCGTAAACTAAAAAGTATAAAGTAGTGTAATTGAAACCACTAATTTATTCCACTAATTGGGGGTTCTGAATGAAGCTTTCGAGATAGAATCACTACTTATTTAGAAGAGTTTGATTTCGACCGCTAGAAAGTATCAATGGACTTTCGTATGTAACAAAAAACATTTTTAGCCGACCATACCAACAGGTATGGTAGGCTATTAAGATCGGCAAAAAAAGCTTTTTTAATTTCACTCAAAATGAGTTATTTGGGTCATAAATGACCTAAATACAAAATATTTTCATGGTGTCTCTCTGTCCGTCTAAAACACGATAACTCAAAAACCGCTAAACCGATTTTAACCAAATTTGGCACAAAAATACTGTGGCACCCGAGAATCTGGCCATTAGTTTTTGTTGGGGGTGGGGGGTTGGTAAGGGGGTATGGGAGGGTGTTAAAAATTTTAAAAAATCGTAACTCCATAATTACAGTAGCTAGCGAAACGCGGTTTTCAATTTAAGATTAGGAATAATATTTGCAACAAAATTTGTAATAACATCAAAATCAGTCAAAGTCGCAGTTTTTGAGGTAAAAAAAATTGAAAAAATTCCTTTACTTTGAAACTAAAAGAACTGCCTACCAACTTTTTATTAACATATTTTAGTATGGGCGGTTATACGTGCCTCCCGGCGCCAATTTTTTTAATTATTGTTACCGAGTCCCGAAAGTACCGAAAAAAATATATCAGGAAATTCTATATTTTCTAGGAAACTTTATAATATTATTTTACTTTATATGTATCTGTATTTGGTTTAGAGGGTTGCTAAATATAGTAATATTTGTTAGAAAGCGTGCATGTACAAGTACATACTATCAAGCTAGATATTCTGTGATACTATAATTTAATTATAATATGCACAAATAAAGTTAATGGTAATAAAGGTACAAAATACAAGACAATAACACACCACCACTGAACATTTGTATCAATTTTTTGTCAATTTTTGGATGTCGTCTATCAAAATCGTTCGAAATATTTCTAGGACAGGCTTTAAAATTAAAAGAATCTGAATATTCATACTTATAATATTTTTTATTTAGTTTCCAGAGTTCGAAAAATTTTGACATCAAGGGAGTTATAAAAATACACACGTCGACGTGCAATTGGCTGATCAATGAAAAAGAAGAATATGTATCATATGAAAATGAGAATTTATACAGGGTGAACGATACAAAGAAAAGAAGGGTAAGTATTTTAATATCTAAGTTATGGTAATTTATTCGCGAGTCAGTATTATTATTCCCTGCTGCAAAAAAATTAAATTATCCTAAACTTCAAATAGGTTTCACAGAATCGCCATCAAAAATAAAACTTATCTTATAACTGTAACTTATCACTATTTCTCTCGAGCGAATTTCACAGAAATATTAGCTACTTTGCTGTAATTTTATCAAAAATATAAATTTTTGAGATAACTTTTTTCCCAGAGGTATGATCTACGAAAGCGTAGAGCTGCCATACCGATGTGGAAAAATATTTTTAACAAAATTTACAGTTTTTCTGTAAACTTACAGTTTTTTCTGTAAATTCTAAATCTACATTTTTTGTATATGTCGCATGCAATTTACAGATAAACTGCATGCGACATAAACAAAAAATGTAAATTTAGAATTTACAGAAAAACTGTAAATTTGGGCATTTTCTGTAAATTTACAGTTTTTCTGTAAACTTAAATTGTTTTCTGTAAATTCTAAATCTACATTTTTTGCATATGTCGCATGCAATTTACAGAAAAACTGTAAATTTACAGAAAATGTACAAATTTGCAGTTCTTCTGTAAACTGCATGCGACATATACAAAAAATGTTAATTTAGAATATACAGAAAAACTGTAAATTTGTACATTTTCTGTAAATTTACAGTTTCTCTGTAAACTTAATTTTTTTTCTGTACATTCTAAATCTACATTTTTTGTATATGTCGCATGCAGCTTACAGAAAAACTGTAAATTTACAGGAAATATACAAATTTACAGTTTTTCTGTAAATTTACACTTTTTCTGTAAATTTACATTTTTTCTGTAAATTGCATGCGACATATACTACCCAGTAAGACAATGTCTCGGCATCGACCTGTTCGTTACTCAATTACTTCTGTAAATGTTGATCAAACTTCATATATAAGAATACTATTCCCATTATTCAATTACAGGAACTCCTAAAGGCAGATGTTACTATCCGATTAGTTCGATATTCAAATTCAAAATCTACTGAAATCGAGTTAAGAGATAGCTCCAATTTTACATACATTTTACATTTCAATTCTACCAAAAATGCTAAACAGTTTATGGAAAATGAAAAAATACAATCATACCTAACGGACAATAAAGTGACAATTAAAAGCACTCTACTTAGATTTTTAGGTAAGTTTGTTATGCCAATTTTGTTTTAATAATTTACTAAAGCAGTGCTCATTTTTCAGGAAAAAGATCAAGTCGCGAAATTCTTGAAAAGAAGGGCATCTACAAGAACGAGCCCATTTTTGGAAATACGCTGAAGGAAATTTACTCCAAATCTGAAATACCTGTTCCTCAATTTATTTACGATGTCATCAGACTGATAGAAATGCCTGAAAATATAATGAGTTTAGGTAAATGTTTAAATATCTGTTTGTTAACAATAAATAAAAAGATTATAGAAAGACATATCAACAAGTAAATTAGCGAGACTACGAAGGAGTTTTAATATGGCTCACTTAAACACCGGTTGATGCTGTTCTCACTTTCTTTAACATATATGTTAAAATATAAAAGAGAGGAACTCACTAGTTTGCTGATTTTGTTTTACGTTGAGTCAATAATTGTTAATGAATTTATTTAATAAAGAAAATACAGAGGACGCTACTGAAGTAACTGATTAAAATTTATAAAAGTGGAACACAATAGTGAAAAATTGTTTGTTTATTTCTCATGATATTTTTTCTAAAAAGAATTATGATTAATTTAATAAAAAAAATTATCAAATTTACCATTTCAGTCATATAACTAAACTGTCAACATGTTTTCTTTTTGTCAATGATGACATGGGTTGATCATTTACATTTCAAATATCTTGAGAACGGTTACTCGTAGCAGTTTTTTTTGAAGAGTCCTTTTTTACATAAAAAATGGCGAAAATGTATATTATCTCACTCAGTAGTTTTATACCGGTGCGGACGAAAAGTTATTCCTCTTCAAACCAGTGGCGGTTCGTGGTTATTATTGTAGGGAGATCAATATCTAAAAATATTGCTTCGATTTTTTTAAGACGCGACCAAATTTAATCATTTTCTTACAAGGTACTTGTACGTTTAGTTAAAGGAAATCTAAAAATAAATACAAATTATGTTAAAATGAAACCTACCCTTACATTTATAAACAGGTAGTCTAGTGCCATTTCACTAAAAATCCAGTCAATGTTCTTTACACAAATTTTCCACGGTAGGACTTAAAAGACATTTAAATAATAATGTCACAAAAATATAAATACACATACACATTTCTAAAAGTTTTATTTCACATTTTTGGGTAAAATAAAACGTTTTGAAGCGAAAATTGGACAAATTGACAGTTTTTAGGAATAGTTTTGAATATTTTAGGATGAAAAAAAAGTGCAATTTATTACAAAATGTATAATTTAAATAAGTTTTTCTAATTTTCTTCTGATTTTAACTTATTTTTATCTGCAGAATACGCTGCCGAAGATCGAAGATTCCCGAATACAATTTGGACCTCCCTGTGTATAATCAAATATTTATCTTTGGATTATTTATTGGGCAAAAATCAAATATAGTGTTTATAATATTTTTATTATTTTTTAGGATTATATAGGACTTCAGGCAATTTAGCAACTATTCAGAAAATACGTTTTGATGTTGATAACGGACGACTGAATACCTTAAATCAGTACAGCAAAGATCCAGACGTGCTAACAGGGAGTTTAAAATTATTTTTTAGAGAACTCAAAGAACCTCTAATACCATATGAAGTTTGTGAAAAACTTGCGGATATAGTCAGTAAGTACATTGAATAATGCAGGGTGAGTCTTAAATAAGTGCAAATTTTATTTAATATATATTTTATTTAATAATAATAATAATACAACTGAATGAAGCTATGATATACTATTTGATATTTAACAAATGTTATTCTAAATATTATCTATAGGATGAAGTACCTAGATGTGTAACATCTGTATGTACGTTAAAGGTATAATGAAACTTTATTTTATTTTAAAGGATATTCCATAATATCAAAACCTTACATAATCAACATAATCAAAATAAGTGGTAAAAAAAAGGTGCTAGCGAAAATAAGCTGTCCAAAAAATAAAAGAATGACCAAGATATACAACCATTAAACATACTTAAATAAAGTGATTTACAAAAATAATACACTACAGTTAGACAAAATACCTTTCAAATTGATTGTAGTTTCCATATATTATATTTTTGCTTAATAATTTAAATTGTTTCAGTTTCACACAATTTCTCACCTCCAATGGCAACAAATTATATAGTTTAGGCCCGAAATAAGTAACATACCTTAAATTAAGGTTATTGGTACTCATTTGTAATCTGATTTGTTTAGTTTGTCGAGTTCTGGTTTCATAAGAATGGTCGATTAGAGGTTTTAAATCAGCTCGAGAATGTATATAAGAACAAACTGTGAAAATGTAAATTGTTCTAACATTAACAGTTTCCCTATCAAATAGCAAGTGTGTAGGAAAAAGTCTATTTTTTCTATAAATTATTTTTAAAATATATTTTTGTATTATATTTAATTTATATAAGCTGCTTTCATAAAGCCCACCCCATACCAAAATACCATACCTTATTATTGATTCCACAAGAGCTTTATAAATCATAATTAGGATGTTTTTATTTAGAAAGTCTCTCAAAAGGTAAAATTTATGAACTAATTTACGAATTTTTCTGGATATGTAATCAATATGAGGTTGCCACTTCAAAAATGTATCAATTACAATTCCAAGATATTTTATTGATGGAGTTTCTTTAATAGAATAATCGTCAATTGCAATGATGCTATATTGTGGTCTGTTTACCCTCGTGAGTGAGAACGCTATGTATTTGGTTTCTTCTAAATTTAATGTTAATTTGGAATTTTGAAGCCATATTTTTACTTTTGCCAAACAATCTATTGTTTTAGTTTTTACATCTTCCCAGCTATCTCCCGAAACAACCAGGGCTGTGTCATCTGCGTAAGATATAGTTAGACCATTGATAGATAGTTTTAATAAGGAGTTTATATATAGTACAAAAAGTATCGGTCCTAACACCGTTCCTTGTGGAATTCCAATTTTAATTTTTTGTTGGTCGCTTAAGGTTTGATTATTTAACCTCACCATTTGCAAACGGTCCGATAAGTAACTCTCAAACAGATGCAAGGTTATTCCACTTATTCCGTAACCCTCCAATATTGTTAAGAGCCTACCATGATGAACAGTGTCGAACGCCTTGGGAAGGTCTAAAAATACTGACATTTTTTATTTGAGTTTAACTGTGTAACAACTTCGGTTACCAACCTGTGCATTGCATCTACAGTTGATAAACCCTCAAGAAATCCAAACTGGTTTTCTGATAATATATTATTTATCTTTAGAAAGCTAATGAGTCTTACCTTTATACACTTTTCCAAGATTTTCGCAAAGCTACTGATGAGGCTAACAGGACGGTAATTGTTTATAGAATTTTTGGGGCCGGCTTTGTGGATGGGAGTTACTATAGAGGTTTTAAATTCAGACGGTATTTTTCCATTTGTTATTATTAAATTAATTATATGTAACAATGGGTCAATAATTTCAAGATGTGTCTGTTTTATAATATCAGCTTTTATACCATCATAGCCGGGAGCGGTATTGTTTTTTAAAGTTGAGATATGATTTATTAGTTCATTTTTTGTTATGGGAGTTAAATAAATAGAATTTGTTATAGGCTGGTTAGTTTGTTGCTCTAAAAATTGCTGTAAAGGAATCGCTTTTTCCATTTCTACCCCAATGTTTATAAAGTAATCATTGCAGAAATTGGCAGCTTCTAATAAGCTAATAAAGCTTTGACCATCCTTATTTTTTATATCAGAAATGTTGTTACTGTTCTTATTATTTTCATAAGTGGCATCCTTAATTATTTTATATAGATTTTTCATGTCATTTTTATTGTTTTCAACTTGTTTTTCGTAATATAGATTTTTTTGCTTATTTATAAGCCTGTTTAAAGCGTTCCTGTATTCTTTATATTCCCTTTCTAATTGGGTGCTGAGATTTTTACTTAATTTTTTCTTCATTCTATCTCTAGTTTTTATTGACGTAATTATGTATTTTTGGTAAGTATCTAAGAAAATTTTTGTTGCCCTTTCGCAGTTATTTTCATTAATAACAATAGACCAATCAACATTCTTTAAAAGCGTTTTAAATTTATAAATATTTAATTTAAATTTTGTTTTATTTTCTTGAGTTTTTTTTATATGTTTATTTTTTTGATTAACTGTAAGCATAATTGGGCTGTGATCTGTTATAACTTCTTCTAAGATATATGATTTAAAGTTTAATTTATTAGATTTTACTATATTATTTATAAATAAATGATCCAGACAAGTTTTTGATTTAGGTCTTGTTACTGAGTTAATATAAGACTGAAAACCAAGTGCATTCATCATTGTAAGTTAATTTAAAACATGGTTATCTGTTTTTTCCATGATGTTTATATTGATATCTCCTACAAAAATTTCAACATTAGAATGAGTTAAGTTTTCTAAATAAGTGTAGATGTCACTCACAAAGTTAACCTTTGGAATGGGTGGGGGCTTATATATTGCTGTTAAACCGTAAGTTGTTTTATTTATTTCAAAATTTATTCTACTAAGTGTTGCCTTCGAGTTCGTCAACTGAGTGAAAGAGAAATCAACGTTTAAATTTTTCTTTACCAACATAACAACCCCATCGTTTTTATTATATGTAGCCTCATTATAAAATGTATGATATTCTGCAATATTGTAATTTTTTGTGGAATCAATTTGAAAAGTTTCAGTAAGTACAATTATATCTATATGATGCAACTTATATGTTTCTAAAAATAAAATTAGATTATCAATATTTTTATTTAAACTTCTGATATTAAAATGAATTATAGTTAATACATATTCTTTGTTATTTTTAATAATTTCTAACCTTTTCATATCCACCATTTCTCCTTGTACCTCATTTTCTTCAATAATTTGTTCCAATATATCGTCTTGTGTATTAAATACCATTAACTAGTCATAATCAGTTTTGTTTCTCAAAAGACTTGTGGTATTTCAGGGATGGGCACTCCTGGTCAAGAGCTGTGTGATTGGTTTTAAATTGAAGGTTGTATCTTTCATTTGCCCACATGCAGTTTATGCACATCTTTGCTTTCTTACATCCATGGGTACTGTGGTCTCCAGCACAGGTTCCACACACTTCATTTTTCGTACATTTGGAGCTTTTATGATGACAACCTTGACAGTCAAAGCAGCGCGAAACCGGTCCTCGTAAACTGGCAATCGTTCCCAATCTATGTATAGCTTTCCATACCTTAGCATCCTGCACAGCAACTCTCCCGAGCACTCTGCATATACTGTAGAGGTCTGTTTGGTATATTGTAGAGGTCAGGGTTTGTAGATCTCGATAAAAGAAATATATTTTCTCTTTTCCGTTTTTCAAATAAGTCCAAAATAACCGAGTTATTTTATATTGAAAATTTAAAAAAATATATAATTTTTATTCAAATTTTCAGAACCACTGGATCTTTTCTGGGTTTTCTTTCTTGCAAATTTAAGAAAGCAAATTTGATGCAATCTTGATGCAAGAAAATTGCAAATTTTCTTGCATCAAGAAGTTATGTTTTTTCACTAAAAAATTTCAAATTTTCAGAATTGTTTTTTCGCGAAAAAAAACCTCATAGGCGTGTTTCTGGGGTCGAAATATGCTACCTCTAAAAATATTTGCACTTATTTAAGACTCACCCTGTATACTTTTGAAAATGTACCTGGATAAAATTTATACCAATATAAAAGTAAAAAAATAATATCGTATTGTTACGTTTTTCGTCGGTTCCGTGTGGATAGAAAGTCACAATTTATTTAAACACTATTTATTTAACACTAATTAACAAAAACAATAACGATAAAAAAAAACTTAAAGAACTATTTATAACTTATTTACAATTTATCTAATTATTTATCTAACAGAAATTTATATTGAATTAGCGCGGCGATTGTAACTCTACGCGTCGATCGGTTATTTATTTCTATCCCCTTCAGGTTTCGGGCATGGGCTTATATATGAGAGAAACAGACAGTCCAGACATATCTCGAAAATTCTTAGCGGCGTTCTTCGAACGTCGGTGGGCGTATGAGTCATAGCCGAGTGGCCAAGCCTAAGGCCGAGTTCACACGGTACGGGTCCGCAACACTGCCCCCTTCTTAGGTACATGCTCGTCCCGAGATGTACACGGTGAATGAAGGTATTTGCAAAGCTGGCCCCTGGTGCATTGAGAAGTCTGGTAGAAAAAGCAGTCTACAGTTTTCTCGTCCGATCTCAGCTTTGGGTTATAGCAGCAAACGAGGATCTCGATTCCCGTAAATCTAAACAAGACTTCAATCATGTTCCGGATTGTACGCCAACTCAAACCATCCAGTCCACACGCCAGCTTCGGAATGGCTAATCGTGTAATGTTATTGTTCAGCAGGGCTTCTCTCAGTTCAATCAGGGTCTTCCATAGAGTGAGATAAGTCGTCTTACTCGGGGACCATTCCTTGGTGACCAGGTAGAAGATGTGTCTTGCTTGACCATGTGCATTGTCGGTTAGCCTCAAGACGCTTCCAACCTCTGGATCCTGTCGGCGTAGTTCTCCGACACGCCCAAACTTCTCATTGAACGTCGCAGCGATTCCTCTGGACATCCGCAAATCTCGGGCCACACAGTGAGCGAGCGAATAATCAGGAGGCACGGAAAAGAGGTCTCGTTGTTTTTCTT